ATGCATCAGCTGCTTTGCATTGTCTCGCTGTTTCATCTTTTGATGAGTAACAATAGTAAAAAGCTATCTTTATGCTGGCTAGCACCATCAGCTTACTAATGGAGCAGTGGGGAAGGGCTCATCTGTGATTCCACCCAGCAAGGAAGTTGCATTGTTTATTTAAAGGACTAAGTATTTCAGAAAACATACTCTGTAAAACACATCTAGTATTGCTTGGCAAAGAGATGTTAGCTGGCCTGCTCTCCCACCATTTTCTTCTACTTTTCCTGCTCTCATGCAAAATTCATTAGCCTGGACAGACTCTTGGAATTCCATCTGTCTCTTTACTGCATTAATTGTATGCTTTGCCATGCTGATCTGGTCTGACCTGCTCGCTGGAGTTGCCAGTTAAAATTCCTCAACAATTCTCATGTGATCTTTTTCATTTTTAAAAGGTAGTTTCCTGTATTATAATTGTTTTTGTTTAAAGCTGGATTAATAACAAGAATTAACAGCTTGGTTAAATAGTTCTTGCTTCCTGTGTTACGAACATGCTTCTTGCGGGAGGAACATGTTACTAGAAATTTATTTGATCTTCTTTCTTTTGTTTGGTATAGATGTGGTATATATTATCCAGTATACTGGATTGCTGTGGGGCTTAATACTTCACCTTGTCGACTTCAGGGTTGTCAAGAGCCACCCTCCACAATTCTGTAGTTACCATTTTTACTGGTTGGTTGATGGACTGTTGTTTTTCATCGCAATCTGAAGTTACTGCACTGGCTTTGTTAATTCAGTAATATCCATTCATCTGTTTTCTTAAGTCCTGGAGGTTCATAACATCTGCTTTATGCATGATTCCATTTTCTTGCATGTAATTTTGAGAAAAAATCTGTGCTAAATTTTTACTCTATCTGAATGTTGTCTCATGCGGTGCAGCAATTTAATATTACCTCCCTTCTCTTTTTCTTTAGTTTAGAGTGGTTTGGAATTTCTTCCATGGAACAGCAGGAGTTGAAGAACATGTGTAGTTTACTGATACTGAGCTTATTCTGTGACTATTTTTATTTAACGCGCTCCTCCCCCTTTCCCATCTCTACAAACATGGTGTCAGTCTGTAAAACATAGCACAACTATTACAGGGAGCCTTTGAGAGCATTGTAAAGCAGCAGTAGTCTGCAGTCACTTCAGCTGAAAGTAAAGAGCATGGCTAAAAACAATCATCTGGCTCTGGCAGGACATGCAGCAAGTATCACCAGCGTGCAGTGGGAGAACCTAACAGACACCTCAGAGCCTATGGCCTGGCTGCCCCAGTTCTACAAAAAGAATTGTAGCGTCTTTGTGGATACTCTTACATAGCTGAATTTTGGCTTTATTTTTCCCTTTCAGCTAAATATTCAACTTATTTTAGTTAAAGACTGGAAATATCTTTTTCCAGAAAACTTTGCTGTAGCAGTACATAATTCCATCAGCATATTTCAGTGATAGAGTAACAAGATGTGAATTTTTCTTTTCAGACTGCAAGGGGAAAGTTGCACATGTTATTCTTCCTTTTCACAAACAGAGGTAATCAACATAATTTAAAATGTGTACCAGCTTCACATGTGCTGGGTGACTTAACTCCTGATGTTTGATTGACAAGCATTGTATCTTTTAAGTGCATTCTGTATATTAATTTTTCAGCACAGAGAAGGGAAAGTGTCAGAACTGGCTTGATATCCCTGTCTAGTATGTTTTAACTCTTTTACAGAGTTGTCATTGAGTCTGTTGCCGTCTTTCCATTCTGCCATCTTCTTATTGCAATTAGGAGCATTTTATCAGTGAGACAGATCTCCAATTGTACTTTCATTCAAATGGTACTACCTGTAGGCTTGGCATCTAGAAAAATAATACAAATCTGTTCTTAAATCAAATCAGTAGTTGGATGGACAGAAGTTCTAAGAAAATGACATCTCAAATGAGTTCATACTCTGGTTGAGAAGTAACAATGGGAACACCAGTGTACAGAGAACCAGTAGCTGAGAGCAACTTACTGAGGTTTCAAAATAATGCAAACTTTCTACAGAGTGCAGGAGGGTCAAAGGAAACCCCTTTTCCTTTTTCTTTGCCTTCTTTAAATATTGGGTAATTAAAGTTGGTATTTTTTTTGAGTCATGTTTCCCAGAAAAATAGTAAATAATACATTAACGGTAAAAATAGCAAATTATCAGAAAAAAAAAATGAAGCAAAAGAGTAATTCTGATATGAAGACAGGCTGAGAAAGTTAGTGCTGTTCAGCCTGGAGAAGAGAAGCTGCATGGAGACCTCATAGCAGCCTTCCAGTCATGGTTTAACCCCAGCTAGACAGCTTTCACTCACTCCCCCTCACCCCCTTCTTGCCCTCCCCCTACTCTCAGAGGGACGGAGAGGAGAATCAAAAAGAATGCAACTCCCACAGGTTGAGATAAGAACAGTTTAGTAACTAAGGTGTAACACAAATCACTACTGCTACCACCAATAATAGTAATGATAAAGGAAATAACAAGGGAATAGAATACAACACCCCATCACCAGGCGACTGATAACTCGCCCCCCAGCCCGACCAAGCACCGACCGATCCCTCCTCCAACCCTGCAGTCCACTCTAGTCCTTCCGGCCAACTCCCAGCCACCCCCTGGGCACGACGAGCTGTGGCACGGAGCACCCCCCCAGTCAGCCTGTGTCAAGTGTCCTGCCTCCGCTTCCCCCCGGCCTCCCCCCCTGCCCAGCAGAGCACGAGGCCCACAAAGTGCCTGGCCAAACCAAAACATCATTCACTTCAGCTCCGTTCCCAGCCCGAAAGTCAAAACACAGCACTGCACCGGGCACCACGAAAGAGAAAAACGACCGCCACTGCTAAACCCAGGACACAGTATCTGAAGTGGGCCTACAGGGGTACTGGCGAGGGACTCTACGTCAGGGACTGTAGTGACAGGACAAGGGGTAATGGGTTCGAACTAAACCGGGAGATTTAAGTTAGATACAAGGAGGAAATTCTTTACTGCAAGAACGGTGAGACACTGGAATAGATTGCCCCAAGAACTTGTGAATGGTCCTGTAGTGACAGGACAAGGAGTAATGGGTTAAAACTTAAACAGGGAAAGTTTAGGTTGGATATAAGGAGGAAATTCTTTCCTGTTAGGGTGGTGAAGCACTGGAATGGGTTGCCCAGGGAGGTTGTGAAAGCTCCATCCCTGGCAGTGTTCAGGGCCAGGTTGGATGGGGCTTGGAGTAACCTCGTCTAGTAGAAGGTTTCTTCAGTCCCTTCATGGGGACTGGCAGAGTGGCCAGTCCATAGCAGGGGGGTTGGAACTAGATGATCTGAAGATTCTTTCCAACTCAAACCATTCTGTGATTCTGTGTCATCGGGTGTAGTAAGAGCACATGGCAAGAGTGATTTACAGTGTGTGTATTAGCACAGTGTGATGTTAGACATTAGTGTGTTGTACGTGTCTCTTCTATTTTGTTGCATGCTAATCTTTGAGTGGTATCTGACATCATGAAAGATTTAGTAATCAGAAGGCCTTTGTATTCACAAAATGTGGAGGCTTTGATGTTTTTGCTTTCAAAGAATTATCCAAGCATCTTAATGTACTCCTTGAGGTAAAACAATGATAAATAATAATTAAACTAGTATTTCTGTTCATTATTCCTCTTCTCTGTGTTTTAGGCCATTTTCTCAATGTTTAGATGGATTGGGTCAGATTGATTTATATGCAGAGCCTGCTTTATAATACAAGGAGGATCAATAACATCTTGTAAAATCCTGTTGAAGTGAATTGTAGTCTGAAAGCACTTCTGGTGTGTATTGGTCAAGTGGGTGCTCTTGGTAACATGTTATTTTCAGTTATTTTCCATAGTTTTTAAATATGTGAAGCAGCAGCAAAGGGAAGGATATGCCATCTTTTTTATCTTCTGCTTGATTCTGTAAATCTTTAATTATAAATCGACCTGAATTGGCATCACTCTGCTGTCATTCTCCTTGAGAAGCAAGAAGACAAGGCAGCTGTGATCTGAAGAAATAATCTTTTAATACTGAAGAAACAGTTCTTCAGTTTAATAATTGCTGAGAATTATTGATGAGCTTACACCACTACACAGCAATGAACATAATGATAGTCATCTAATGCCTTATAACCACAGAAATGGCCTAAAAATGCCTAAATGGTCAAAAGTTTCAGATATATGTTAGTTGGTAATGATATGTCCACTCACAGTTACTGTGAATCTCTCAAATTATTTTCTTTTCTGGAAGTCTTCTAGATAATATTTTTCTGTCTTTTTTTTCTTTTTTTTTTCTTTTTTTTTTCAGGTAAGGAGACAGAGCATGTTGAAGCTGTGTGACTGCTTGAGTAGCTCACACTGAAAGTTTTGGTAAAGAACAGCTGAACACAGACATGCTATGTTTGGAGCTCTGCCTGTGGAGCTGACCAGCCATTGCTGTCACCAGCTAGCAGTGCTGTTCCCTTGAGCTTCTGTATATGACACCAGCTTCTGATGCTACTGTTGCTTTAGAGTATAAGTCATATTCTTCTTTTAGGGCTGCTCTTTGCACTAGAGCACAAAATCTGAAAACTTACAGTTTCAGAATGAAGAACTAGGCTGAGGCTTGCTGGCTTGGGGGCTTTTCTGCTCTGATTTTCCTTTCTGCTGTTTTTGGTCAGTTCAGCAGTGAATTCCTGCCTCCTTCCCCCTTGCCTGTAGTTAATCTTCAAAGTTGATCACATTTTGTTACCAGGGCACATATACACTTCAAACGAAAGTAAATTAATTTGAAGAGCTGTTTTCTGAGAAGAGCCCTGGGTTTTGAGAAAAGTCTGTGTATTGCTTCCAAGTTCTCAAGATTTTTTTAACCTTGCATGAAGACGCATGAAAACATCTCTTCCTCCCTTCCTTTACTTGCTGTGGTAGGTGGTTTTTGGTTTTGCATTTTGTGTCCCTGCCCATGGCAAGGAGTTGGAACTAGGTCAGCTTCACTGTCTCTTCCAGCACAGACATCCTATGGCGACACCGCTCTACCTGTCTATGACAGTCGTGCTCTATCTGTGATGATCCTGCTCCATGACAACACTGCCCCATGACTCTTCTGTGATGTAGCTGTGTCACTGAAATGGTATAGATGATGCTGAAAACAAGAAAAGGAAAATAATTAAGCCTTGTCTGTGTTCTGGCATCCACTGGTATATACTTGCTGTGATAGTGACCTGACCTTTCCCATTTAGAGGTGGTAAGGTTTTGTGACAGACAGTTGTATCTGTAAAGGCACAAGACAACGTATTTGGAATAGTTGTGAGAAAGTACAAAGCTGTGAGGTCGTGGCAAAATAGTCTATTTCCAAAAGAAATAGAAAACCATAGGGTTTGGAAGACTGGTTATTCTTAAGATGTTTATAAGAATATTACACTTTATTCATTAAACACCACCAGTATACTTTTTCCTGTGTTAGAAATACATTAGAATAAAATAGTGTGCATGCTTTCGGTTAACTGTGAATAAAAAAATAGGATGAGGGAAAGGGGAATTTGCTGATGACCTATAAGGACAGCTGTTGAACAGCCAGGATGCCGTTCTTGGAATCTAAAGCAAGCTTTCTTCACATCTGTAAGGGGTGAGCATCAGATATGGTCTGTGGTTGTGCCTGACTGAGGTAGTAGCTTTTAGACACATTTATTGAAAGCTCTGTTTACTGAAACTATTGTCAATAGCAAAAATACACAGTTGAATACACAGAGAAATTGCTGTGGATGTGTTAATGGATGTAGATGGCCTCAGAAGTGCGGGGCTATAAGGAATCAAGTGGAGTGGGCAGAAGCTTCTTTTTTGGGTACAGCAGTACTCAAGAACAATTTTAATGTTTGGGAATATCAGGAACATATTTATGGTTTCTTTTATTAAAAAAGCATGTAAGATAAAAGGCTGTTGTCAGTTTTGCTATCAACCTGTAGAACATAAAGCAAGGCTGGATAGGGAAGTATCAGTCATAACTTCTGGGTAATACAAAACTCATTTCTGCAGTCCTCTTTCAAGTCCTTGTGTTGCATAAAAGCTCTATTTCTGATCAAGTTCTGTTTTATTTTTAGGAGGATAGCATTATGTTTAAAATGGAAGTTGACATAAATGGAGAGTCCAGAACTACCATATCCACCCTTCCTGTGCCTCTTGCAGAAGTGAGTCCTGTGGGCAGGATGGAAGCAGAGAAGCCCCGCTGTTCCAGTACCCCCTGCTCACCAATGCGGCGGACAGTTGCAGGGTATCAGATCCTGCATATGGATTCTAACTACCTGGTTGGCTTCACAACTGGAGAGGAGCTGCTAAAATTAGCCCAGAAGTGTACAGGAAGTGAAGAGAATAAAGGGGAATCTGGGCCAAACTTGCACTCCAAACAGCTTGATTCAGGACTTACACGTTCCTCCCGTTTGTACAAAACTAGAAGTAGGTACTATCAGCCATATGAGATCCCAGCAGTAAATGGAAGGAGGAGGAGAAGGATGCCAAGCTCAGGGGATAAATACACTAAGGCTTTACCATATGAACCTTACAAGGCACTTCATGGTCCCCTGCCTCTTTGCCTTTTAAAAGGAAAAAGGGCTCATTCGAAATCCCTGGACTACCTCAATTTAGACAAAATGAGCATTAAGGAACCTGCTGACACGGAAGTGCTACAATACCAGCTCCAGCACCTCAACCTCAGAGGGGACCGTATGTTTGCAAGAAACAGCACATGAGCTATCATTAGCTTGAATTTAGAGCCAATTTCTAGTTATTTCTGTTGCTGCAAAAATCCACTGTTGTACTGTGTACATGACTATCCACATTGTATGTGGTTGTATCAGCTAAATGTTATCAGAAAGTAATTTATTTGAATAGAATCTTGGAAATGCAATGTGTTAAAAATATGTGGAGGGAGAAATCTTTCCTAAGAAAGCAGCTTATGATGCAAATTTGACTTCAATTGGTGGATATTTCTTTGAACATCTTTTAACAAAAAAAACCAACATCTTCTGATTGTGGGGTTTAGGATGGGGTGGGTTTTTTTTTTGTACAGTTAGAGCTGGTATTTCCAGTAATTTAACACTGAAAAACTGGTGATGTCTGCTTGGTTGTTGCTAATTTTGGCTTGATGTTAGAAACTGCTCTTGGAAAAGTGCTTAAGTTTAGGAGGTTTTTTGGTTTGACTTTCTGTTCCTGTATTCTACAGTAAAACATATGTATTTATTTTTTCTTTTCACATGATGGAGAGGAAAGTGAGCTTGGTTAAATATGATCACTTCTGTTTAAACAATTTAAGTTCAGACATTTTCAGACTGCACTTATAATGCTGATGAGAGTGAGATTAACTCAGAGCAAAGCTTTGCTACTTGAATCCTATTAAGTGATTATTTATTTTATTTTTTTTAGTTTCTGTGTGGAAGTAGTTGATTTGCCTCCTCTGTTCTGTATAAAACTTGTTCAGGATAAGTATTTGAGTCATTAAAAAAAAAACTTTTGGGAAGTAAAGATTCTTTTTTTGTAAGTCAAATTTATTTTTCACATTGTCATGGCACAAAAAATGATTCACTGCGGATTCCAGTAAATAAACTGGAATGTCTGCTTTGGTATGTCAGTAATGGTTTTGATTTTTAAACTGTGATTTCAGTATCATGCATAGTAACAGGAGGTGTCAAACAGCTTCATCATTGCTTTGGAAGTGCAGTTGATATGAAGCACTGAACACTAGAGATCTGGAAAGCTGATTTTTATTTACTTTTTGTGGTTTTGTGTGTTTTGTTGTTTGTTTTTTTTTTTATGGAGTGCAGGTCCAGCATTGAAGAGATAATCCTGGATTATTTATCCAAGTAGATTGAATACACTGGTTTACTTATGTTACTTAAGAATTTTTTATCCAATCATGATGTAAAACTCAGTTTGGCAGCTGTATTCATAGATGTATTTAAAACATCATAGTAACTTTAAAAAGGAGCAATAGTTTTTAGAGGGGTTTTTAATTTTAGGTGCAATCTATTACTTGAATCAGTGGGCAGCTTTTGGCTGATGACCTCTCAGAAGTAGTTTAAAAATAAGATCACATTGTTGGAAACATAAATTATTTGATCAGTTGTTTCTGGTAGAATTAATATTTGTTTGTTTATCATTCTGAACGAACAGAAAGCACTACTTAGTGCATGCACTGTGGAGTTCTCATTCTGTCATTCCACAGCTGGTAAATGAAGGCAGCCCATTAGTCTGCATTTTGCTAGTTTGGTTATTTTTTTTTTTTTTTTGAGGTTTATTAGAATCATTGCAACAAACTGATGTGTATTTTTAAAAGCTAACTACACAAGTGTAAACTTAATGTATTGAACAATGATTTTGAAAGTAAAATCTTCTTATATGGTCTTTAGTTTGGAAAACTGATTATGGTCAGATGCCAAAGAGATGGGGATTTTCTTTTAGGAATAAACTCCAGTGTTTAGTACCCTGTGAAACTGCGTTTCTGGCTGAAAAATAAAAAGGGTGGTATAAATACCTGTTGTTGTGGAATCTTTTGCTGCACAGGAGAAAGGACTTAAAAAACACAGCTCTAGACCAGGCATTGTTTAAAAACTTTAAAGTGGAGATCTTGGGTGTCTGTGAAACACATGCTTAGGTTTGTTATTTTGTTTCAGGAAATGCGGGGTGCAGTTACTAATATTCTGCATGTTTCTAGAGTCATCCTGTGTCATAATTGAATAGCCACACCAATAGAGAGATTGATAGCTAGCAAAGTTCAAACATAAAACGTGTGTTGGTACTTCACCTGTTTGGTGATTTGCTCATGAAGGTGCTTACACATGGTGATATTTTTTGCCTAACTCATACATGCAGCTCTCATAGCATATGGGAAATGCTACCTATGCTATAGTATTTATAACAGACTAAGCAAAGAATTGTTAATTGATAACATAACTTGTTTCTTACTCTTTCAGTGTTCCCAAAGAACCTGAAACAAATTATCAAACATAATCATATTTTGGTGTTGTGGATTTTGGGGGGGTAGTGTCTCTGGAGTCAGTTATTAGTGTTAAACTTCATCTTAAAAGGAATGTGTACTAAAAATAAATAATAGTAAGAAAGGATCTCCAGGGAGAATATAAGCATTAAAAAAAAAAAAGAAAAAAATTGTGAGGAACACTAGTTTTATAGTGGAGGTACATTGCAGAAATATAAGTTGTTAAGCTGTTGTAGGAAGAATGCAGTTCTAAAATCGAAAAAGTAGATTTGTTACAATGCTAATAACATTAAAGACAGCTTCCTTTCCTCCTCTGTAATGTAGGGTCATTCTTGGTGTTACTCCCTCAGAAAATACCTTTGGTTGCTGTGTTTGGCTACTCCTGGATGGCAGTAGTCAAGATTCAGTGCTACTGCTCCAGTGGGCTAAGTGCTAAACCTGATCTTGTGCATTTGTGTGGGATGCCTCAAGAGAGGAAATGTTACCCTAATATTTCAATGCCCAGTCTGTCTTACATCCTCCTTAACTTAGGCTATGCTTTAGTAGTTTAGTGGTAGAGAACGACATTAAGGCAAACCTACAGAGCAACTATCTAGGCCACATTAGAATAGATAAGGAAAGAAGGCTCAGCCTGTGGGGAAAAATCCAGAATTAATTGACTTCCACTCAAAAGGGAACATAAGGGGTAATAGGTTCAAACTTAAACAGGGCAAGTTTAGATGGGATATAAGGAAGAAATTCTTTACTTATTTGGGTGGTGAGGCACTGGAATGGGTTGCCCAGGGAGATTGTGAATGCCTTGGGTGGCATGGTTTAGTGTGGGGTGTCCCTACCCATGGTTGGGGGGTTGGAACTAGATGATCTTAAGGTTCCTTCCAACCCTAACTATTCTATGATATTAACTGACCACATTCCATCCAATTTTAGGAGACTGTTCTTTGCATGTGCTTTATCTTATCTATCAAAGAGTTGGTCAGGAGTTGGTCAGAAAAGGGGGAGAGGACGAAAAGAAGGGCTTTCCACAATGCTTTTATTTCTGTGGAGAGTGGGCAGAAAGAATTCACCAGAACATATCAGGGAAAGGCTGGTGAAATAATTGGAAAACTCCAGAGGGGTAGTGCTGCTAGAGTAGGAAGAGTGAAATACTGTATGCTTTCAGTGTCAAAACAAGAAAAGTCATGGAAGGAGATGGTGTGCTGTCTCAAATCTTTCTAGAAAACAGTTGTCCATATTTCTGAATGATTAGGGAGGGTGATGGGACATTTTAGCAGTATGTGTGATCAGAGCTGGGCTGCAGTGAAGGTAGAAAGGAGGACCCTGAGGCTGGGTATGTACACTTCCATAATCCCAAACCTAGATGAAATCTAAATTTAAAAGAGCGTTTGGAGGGATTAAAATCCTATGGTGGTTTTGTGATGTTATGTAGCTCTACATAGTGACAATAGGTAGATGGTGCGATTTCATAGTTCTTTGACAAAGCAAAGGTTTAGGAGGCTGCCTGAGCAAGAAGAAAACTTGTCTGTGGTGTTCCCTTAGTACTAGGGCAACTAAGATGATTAAGGGAGTGGAGCATCTCCCTTATGAGGAAAGACTGAGGGAGCTGGGTCTCTATAATTTGGAAAAGAGGAGATTGAGGGGTGACCTTATTAGTGTCATCATCATGGCTTGACTTCGCGAACGAAGATTTGGGAAGGGCTTTTACCCACGCTTACTACAAGCTCGCTGATGACTAAGAAGGCCAATGTGGGATAGGCAAACCTGGCTACGAAAAGCACAGCAGAAGGTCTCCTTGGGTGGAACAGGTGGGGAGCGATTCTTCCTGTGTTGTCTTTTCTCCTCGAGACTAGTTCTTCGTGAGCACTCAAAGGAGTCAGCGGCATTATGTATGGTGTGCCTCCAAGTCTCCCGATTGGAGGCCAAGGTGGACCACTGATGGTAGTCAATATGGCCAAGGCTAAGGTATTGTTTCAGGGAGTCCTTATATCTCTTCTTTGGGGCACCTCTCTTGCGGCTACCGGTGGCAAGTTCACCGTAAAACACGATCTTGGGGAGGCGGTGATCCTTCATTCTAGAGACATGCCCTGCCCAGCGCAGCTGCAATTTCAGCAATATGGCCTCGATGCTGGTGACCCCTGCCTGTTTGAGGACAGTGACATTAGACACATAGTCAGTCCAATGGATGTTTAGAATTGTACGGAGGCAGCACTGATGAAAGCGTTCCAGGAGTCGCAGGTGATGACGGTAGATGACCCATGATTCAGACCCATATAAAAGAGTAGACAATACAATGGCTCTGTAGACACTGACCTTTGTACTTTTCTTCAGGTGTTTATTACACCAGACTCTTTTATGGAGTTTTCCAAAGGCTCTATATGCCTTTGCTATTCTGTTGTCTATCTCTTTGTCGATCGTGGCATCCGAGGAAATGATGCTTCCCAGATAGCTGAACTGCTGAACTGTCTTAAGGTCTGACTCGCCGATGGTAATATGGGGATGGCGATGATCTTCTTGGGGTGCAGGTTGGTAGAGGACTACTGTCTTATTCAAGCTGAGTTCCAGCCCAAAAACCTCAGCTGCCTCCGCAAAGCAAGATGTTAAACGCTGCAGAGCTGCTTCTGTGTGGGCAACAAGGGCGGCATCATCAGCAAAGAGCAGTTCACGGACAAGATGGTTTAGGGTCTTAGTGTGGGCCTTCAGTCGCCTTAGATTGAATAGGCTCCCATCGGTACGATATCGAACATAAATGCCGTCTTGTTCGTCGAGGTCTGCTGTAGCCCTTTGGAGCATCATGCTGAAGAAGATTGTGAATAAGGTCGGTGCGAGAACGCAACCTTGTTTCACACCATTGGTTATTGGGAAAGGCTCAGAGAGTGCATCGCCATACCTGACTTGGCCTTGCTGATCCTCATGTAACAGAATAATCATTTTCAGGAACTTGGGGGGACAACCTAATCGTTCTAAGATCAGCCATAAGCCTTTCCTGCTCACAGTGTCAAAAGCTTTGGTGAGGTCAACGAAAGTTACGCATAACCCCTTATTCTG